ATGCATAAAAGTTTCAAATATGTCATAATTAAATTGTAGCCCATTCTTTTAAACATCCGGGGCAGTAAGTCTGAAGAGGAATCCCGAACATCAGGTTAGTTTAAAGTGACCCGAGAAATGGATTCATCAAAGCTGTTATTTGAATTTGACAAATTCATTTGTCATTACTAGTAACCCAACATTCAGGATTCCTCTTTGAAATTGCTGCACTGAATGTTTAAAAAATGGATGTATGTGATAGCTTAATTATAGTCCTCCCATATAATGTAAGATGACAGGAACCATGAGCAAACATATCCACTAGCCCAAAATTTGCTACCTTTCACTCTTACTACTGTACTATAATAGATGGTGTTCCCCCATCACAAAGCCCAAAATATCTACAGCAAAACCTCCATAATTTTCCAAACCGTACAAAAAATAAAAATAAATTACATGTCATGTTGACAAAACTTACAATGCAACCCACATTTCTGGCTATCAGTGTGTTTCGGTTAATAGGAATTCTGGCTAAATGAGATATTACTTATATGTATACTGTATATAAAGCAATTCACATTTTTTCCAAAAATGTATCTAAAAACTCAAAACATTGGTAACAAATATTTCAAAAAAGAAATGCAAAAACTAATAATACTACAGTACAAGGTACTTAAAAGCCAAGCAATTGAGAACTATTTGTTAAGCCATGTCATGATGTTCCTAAAACTGTTTTTGTGGCTGTGAGTGACATGGCTCTCCTTGCAATCAGTTTTTTCAATCTTTTAATTCTGTAAGAAAGCATTAACCCATGAGTTCATCAGAATGGTAACAATATATTCTGTCTACCCCATCTCTTTCAGCACCTAAACAAATGCCACCATCTCCATTACCTTCCTTCTGAGAAAGTTGACTTTAGAATATGTAAACTGAGATTCAATATCATTGAATGAGCTTTATAAATGGTGTAAAGGTCTGAGGTATGAGTCAGTGCATACTGCATAGCTATTATTGGTATAAATTTGCATAAAGAAGCAAAACTTACTTTTCTGGCCTATTTCATTTTAATTCCCAACGTCATCTATTAGTAATTAATATGCATGCTTAATTGAGCTACTTAACTTTACCTGAAGGTGGAATGGAGTACTGAAGGCCAGATCTTCTTTCTTCACAGTGCATAGGTCCACTTCCTTCACGAGGCAAGAGTTTTTTACCACCCAAGACAGCAAAATAAATTTTTGATAAGTACAGGACTGGTTTTTGATACAACATTATAAAAAAAATAAGACATGTTTATTCATTTAATTACTGGTAACAGCAAAATCTTACCTGTTTTGCTTCTATGACATCAACCAGAGGCTCTGTCATTGCCACATCCCAGATTCACAACATGTCAAATCAGTAAACTCTATCCCACTAATTGATTTTATCGCCCTTGTATTGGTGATCCTGTTGAAATAAAAAGTGACTTTAGCAGGAGCCGGTGCATGCCCAGTAATTGCCAACAGTGAGTAACAGACGTGACCGATTGCCCAAGAAGCTAACGAGCTGATCAGTGGTAAAGAGGATAAAAGTTTAAGTCAATAAATTTTTTCACAAACCCGCTGAGTTCATGTGAAACTATATATGGTAGTCACAGGGCATAAGTGTTAATTCCTGCTTTAGTATCACAGTCATAACTAGCTGTATCAGGCCATACATATCTAAATTTTCAAGGGAACAAAATAATGGCCTCACTCAATTATCCATTTATGCTGTAAATTCTGAAAAATCAAGGTCAAATTATTTTTTAATCGTTTCAATAATCTTATTAACATTATATTTAAAAAATAGAATGCACACGCATGCATATTATATATATATATATATATATATATATATATATATATATATATATATATATATATATATATATATATATATATATATATATATATATATATATATATATATATATATATATATATATGTGTATATATATATATATATATATATGTGTATATATATATATATATGTGTATATATATATATATATATATACAGTGGCCCCTCGGTTAACGAACTCAATCCGTTCCAGAAGGTCGTTCGTTAACCGAAACGTTCGTTAACCGAAACCATTGTTTCAATGGGTTTTTGGGTAATTGGTTCCAGCTCACCGAAAATTTCCTAAATTCAACAAAAATGGTAGAAAAGTTCACTTACTTTGAGGTGTGTATGTAGAAGGCTCCTGGATGATGATGATGATGATGGGATTTAGAATGGGGGTGGAGGAGAAGGAAGAAGAGAAGGCATTGGGGTGGAAGAGAAGTCACCCCATGGTGCCATTTCACCCATAAAATTTTAGCTCTCTGGTTTAATTCAAGATTATTTTCTTTAAATCAACGCTGCACTGCATTATATATTGTCAATATATAAAATATATTTCAAAATGACCAATAATTTGCTTGGAAACACAGAAAAAAAGCGTTTAGTTGAAGAGAGTCTCAAGCAAGATGTTACCTCCAGTGAAAACAGAGAGAGACTGACGCCTGTTTGCTGTGTAAAGAGGCTGGATGCCGCGCATTAAACTAGTCACTTTACCTTCAATTTTGTTCAATAATTGTTAAAATGACTAAAAAATTGAATATTAAACTTTTAAAATTATTGAATAGTATAAACTTCTTGATATTTACAAAAATAGTAAGGAATTTAAGCCCTAGAACCGATTAATGTATTGGCGGACTGATACTAAAGCTGGTTGCCCTGTCAGTGCAAGCGAAAACATGTTGAGGTCGGTTCGTAAGAAGTTCGTTAAGCGAATTTTTTTTCGTTAACCGAATTGAAGATCCTTATGGAAGGCAGTTCGTTAATCGAAATTACGTTAACCGAGGTGTTCGTTAAACGAGGGGTCACTGTATATATATATATATATATATATATATATATATATATATATATATATATATATGTGTATATATATATATATATATATATATATATATATATATATATATATGTGTATATATATATATATATATATATATGTGTATATATATATATATATACACACACACACACACACACACACACACAGTAATACCCCGCTTTACACGGTAGCCTGCCAGAACCGGAATGTTCACTTTACGCGGTACATCTACTCATATATGCGGGAAGCGGCGCGGGCAGGGTGCACACAAGGTCGCCCAGTCATCAAAACATTACCAAGTTCTTCACCCGCCACAGCCAGACCATGTCAGTGATAGTGAAGATATGGACTTATATGAACTTTGGGGGGTTTGACAAAGAGGCCCTGCAAGCCTCTGTGGTGGATAGTGATACAATTGATACAGGTGAGGGCTAATAATCTGCTCTCTGCCTCGGAACCAACCCCCCATCCCAGTGTGCCCAGCCATCTTTCCTACTAATGTAAGTGTTAAAAAACCTAATATTATTGATATTTCTCTTAATTATTAATTGTGTGCATACCATCATAAAATTAAGAAGTTATTTTTACTACAATGTAGGTATTATGTCCCATATGTTCTGTTGTTCACTTTATGCGTTTCCTGCTTTACGCAGGCCTCTGTGGGTTCAATTGACCGCGTAAAGCGAGGTATTACTGTATATATATATATATCTCATGTATGTAGATCCACAATGAAAACGTGGATAAGATAAATCTTGATAAAATCACACGGGGAAAAGGGAAACAACGGAGCACCTTAGCTTTTGTCTTTATTCAAGACATCTTCTGAAGATGTCTTGAATAAAGACGAAAGCTAAGGTGCTCCGTTGTTTCCCTTTTCCTGTGTGATTTTATCAAGATATAGATATAGATATAGATATAGATATAGATATAGATATAGATATAGATATATATATATATATATATATATATATATATATATATATATATATATATATATATATATATATATATATATATATATATATATATATATATATATTACAGTTGTCCAGAATGCGACATCTAGCTTTATACCTAGGTATGTAAATGCCTAGCATTAACTTGCCAGGCTAAAAGAATATAGGAATTTTATCATAGAAAACAAATTTTTTTCACAAGAAAATGATATTTATAAAATAAAACAGAAATTTGTATCATAAAAAAATTTAATTTTGTCAAAGAAAACAAATTATCAAAGGAAATGAGAATTTCATCTTCAAAAATGGAAATTTTATCTTCTAAAACAGAATTTTTTATATAAAAAAAGGATATTTTTGTATCAGAAAATGGGATTAAAAAAAATAATTAATTAGCTTTTTTTGGGTGTGTCTTATGTTGCCTGTGGTTGTGCAACTTGGCCATAGGCGGGTCAAGGTTCAAATATTACAATGAAAATTATGACAGGATGAGGGAGGAGATGAGTGTTATTCACTGGCGTGCCTTGCTCGTAAACAAGAATGCGGACACTGTACTACCCTCAATGTTTTGGATTTGTCAAGGGACTTTTGTTTATGACACCAAAATAAAATAAGGAATGTTTATTATACTCTTGTTACAGAAAGCTTTACAGTCTAAGTACTGCACAAGTGTAAGAAAATAAAAAAATATCAGTTAGTAAAATGTAGTAACAATATAACAAGTGAACATGTACATAAATCACATACTTGAGCAGTGCATGAGAAAAGCTGGCAATCTAAAGAACTAATATATATATATATATATATATATATATATATATATATATATATATATATATATATATATATATATATATATATATATATATATATATATATATATATATATATATATATATATATATATATATATACATATATATATATACATATACATATATTATTATATACATACATATATATATATATATATATATATATATATATATATATATATATATATATATATATATATATATATATATATACATATATACATATATATATATATATATATATATATATATATATATATATATATATATATATATATATATATATATATATATATATATATATATATATATATATATATATATATATATATATATATATCACGTTTTTTGTTACAATCTTTACATCGTAAAGGTAATTTTGGTCATGCACATAGTCAACTTAATAAATATTCTTCATGTATATACACTTATTCCATTCCACTGTGTAAACATACTCTGCATGGTTATTTTCATATAATGTTCATAAATTTTTTAAATAACTTTGCACTTCTGTTATTACATTGTTACATTAGCCTCAGTCATCATAACCTAAACTTCAGTAAAATTAGAATATGACAGCATACAAATTCAAGTACAATTGAGAATAATGACTCCTTGACAAGTAATATCCTGATGCTCATCACATACATTTAATAATTGTAATAAGAATCTTTACATACAGGTAAAAACTTATAATTTAGAGGTTATATGGCATCAGTCCTTATTTTGATACATTCCATCATTCAATGCACTGACACATATTTTCTCACACAACACATTTATACATCAGTTTATCATATATCAAAATTAACTCTTTGCACTTTTGATCAATAGATCAGGCAAACATCTTTTTTTTTCATTAGATATGAACATGTTACATATGCACCTCCTGGCATCACAGTGATGCATAAAATCCCATGCTAACAATGTAGAATACTGAAGTCATGTTTTCCTCTGTGCAAATAAGGGAGGCAAGAGCAAGAATTGTTGACAAAATATAAACAGTGAACAATAATATATGATAAAACTTCTCAAGTAGTGCCAACAGGTGCTCTTTCCAAACACTGTTGGACACTCCAGTTTCTTAAGTGTCACTTGCTGTTAACATTCGGAAAATCTTTTGTAAATATCACATATCAATTCTTGAAGACGTGGCACTATAGGTTCACATAATATCTTGCAAAAAGTATCACAACCTCTTGTCAAATTAATTGAAATTACCTCCTTGTTTTGATTATTATAACTATTCATCCTTACAAAGTTTGTGAAGTTGTAATTTTATGATGTTAGTCAACGAACTCAATACAGTATTATTGTAATACACAGTCTGAGTCTCCAGTTTGGGGCTAAGTATTAAAACTTAAAAAATTCATTTTAATTGGCAATAATTATATATTTTTACTGAAGCTCATCTAGAGAGAGTCACATCTTTAGGGTTGTCTCCTTGAGTGTGTCCAGTTACACGCTGTTCGATGGTGATGTACTGGCGGATGAGACGGGAAATTTCATGAGCTTGGTCTGTCTGTATGCGGGTGATGCGCTGTTGCATCAGGTTGCCACATTTCATGTCTAGGTAGAGTTCATCCTCACTCTTGACTTTCCTTGTACTCATCACCTCAGCCAGGCTGTACCTGGTCAAGGTCTCCTGTAAGAATACAACTATGTTAAGAGAAGATTCAGCATTTATTTGATAACTACAAGACTCACCTGACATATTAGACTAAATCACATCATGTGAGGTCTTAACTACAAATATAAAAGACCAAGAGCTTACAAGGGATGTGATATGTCCAAACTGAATGTCTACTGGGAAAAGACAAATAAAGGCTACATGTCCACAGAGTTATCAAAGAAGTGGTTTGATGATTGTTTTGTTAAGGATGCCAAAGAATACTGCCGGAAGAAGAATGTAGCCTTCAAAGTGGTGCTCTTTCTAGACAATGCCCCCAGTCATGCACGATTTCTAGTAGGACGTCACCCTAGCGTTGAGGTTGTGTTTCTACCACCATATACAACCTCCAAAATACAGCCACTAGACCATGAAGTCATAGCGAATGTAAAGTTGCTGTACTACAAATATGTCCATGACAAGATGAGGAAGGAAACTGATAAGCAAGAAGAAGTGAAGGAAATTGCTGAAACTGTGAGCAGTAGCAAGGAGGAGGAGGAGGGTGCTCCCCTCGCCGCCTCCGCTGCTCCACCTGGCTCACTCACACCCTCCGCATCCGCTGCTCTGCCTGGCTCACTCACACCCTCCGCCTCTGCTGCTCCGCCTGGCTCACCCACAGCCTCCGCCTCCACTCCTCCACCCGACTCACTTGCAACCCCCGCCACCCCTGCTCCACCTGGCGTACCTTCAACCTCCACAATGACTGTTACTGCCTTCTGGAAAAATTATAACATTCGCCAGGCAGTCAATATCTTTGTAAAAACCTGAGGGAAATACTACAAAAGCAACCGTTAGGCATGCCTGGTCGGCACTCCTGCCATAACTCAAGTCTGACGAGACGAAGAGACAGCAGCCAACAGAGTTAATGAACCAAGTGTTGGAAACTGTCCGCAGTCCTCCAGCCCCAGGATTTCAAGAAGTGACTCGGGAAGATTTAGAAGAACCGATGCAAGATGGGAACACATTTGACGTCGAGGATCTCCTGGAGGATGAAGGTGGTGGTGAGAGTGGTGATGCAGTGAGTGATGCAGAGGAGACTGAGCAGAGGAAAGTGACAACACAGAAGCTGTCACTCTTATTGGGTGTCTGTACCAGCCTTCAAGAGATGATCCAAGACATTGAGAGTGAATCAGGTGAAAGGGAGCAAGTGATTGGAGTTTTAGAATCTACTTCAAGAAAATACCAGAAGCAGTACAACGAGCGAGTGAATGCCCGGCAGCAGTCACTCATCACTCGCTTTCTTTCACAATGCCGGCCAGCCAAAGAAGACCAACAGAGAGAGGTTGAAGTTGATGAAAACATTGATGACATTGGGGAAATGCCTGAAGATTTTGACTTTGCGGGGTTTCATGAAGTGTTAGCGGAAGTGGGCGAACCGGGTGCAAGAGGCCAGCGTGGGGACGGGGACGGAGATGGGGCTGGGGATGTGGGCGGAGGTTTGACGCAGTAGCCTCCATGCCCCAGCCTCGTAACAATCATCACACCAAGCACCTCAAAAACTCCCCCAAGCTAAGTGTTATATTACTCAAATTCTTTATTCTGATGATAGAATAACAAATCTTTTTATTTCTAACAAAAAGTGTTAGGCAGGGCTTCAAAGGGGAAAAAATGGGTGAAATTCTTGGGGCGGCAGCACCAAAAAACCCTTTTTACATGTACAGTGGTCCTTCGGTTAATGAACTCAATCCGTTCCAGCAGGTTGTTCGTTAACCGAAACCATTGTTTCAATGGGTTTTTGGGTAATTGGTTCCAGCTCACCGAAAATTTCCTAAATTCAACAAAACTGGTAGGAAAGTTCACTTACTTTGAGGTGTGTATGTAGAAGGCTCCTGGATGATGATGATGATGGGAATTAGAATGGGAGTGGAGGAGAAGGAAGAAGAGAAGGCATTGGGGTGGAAGAGAAGTCACCCCATGGCACCATTTCACCCATAAAATTTTAGTTCTCTTGGTGTATTTCAAGATTATTTTCTCTAAATCAACACTGCACTGCATTATATATTGTCAATATGTAAAATATATTTCAAAATGACCAATAATTTGCTTGGAAACACAGAAAAAAAGTGTTTAGTTGAAGAGAGTCTCAAGCAAGATGTTACCTCCAGTGAAAACAGAGAGACTAACGCCTGTTTGCTAGTCACTTTACCTTCAATTATGTTCAATAATTGTTAAAATGACTAAAAAATTGAATATTAAACTTTTAAAATTATTGAATAGTATAAACTTCTTGATATTTACTAAAATAGTAAGGAATTTAAGCCCTAGAACCGATTAATGTATTGGCGGACTGATACTAAAGCTGGTTGCCCGGCCAGTGCAAGCGAAAACATGTTGAGGTCGATTCGTAAGAAATTCGTTAACCGAATTTTTGTTCGTTAACCGAATAGAAGATTCTTATGGAAGGCAGTTCGTTAACCGAAATTTCATTAACCGAGGCGTTCGTTAACCGAGGGATCACTGTATGCCAAGTAGTGACGTGTCCTCCTAATATTACTTATTAAGTAATTATTAGATGTTTTAATTGCCTGTATGTTGGCCTGGCGAATTGGCTAGGAATAAACATACCTAGGTAGCATTTGCTGACGTCGCATTCGAGCTATATCACAAAAATTGGTTTTTAGAAAAAACCGGCTTTACATGTATTTTAATGTCACACAAATAACGTTTTCGCTAATAACAGCGTTTTTCAGGCACCTATTAAACGTTATTGGCGAGAGCCTACTGTACTTAGCAATTACAAGTACAGTACAGAGTATTCTCTATACTATAAAACAATTGATTTAACTAATATTGTTGATATACTGCGAAAAATGCGATTATTTACTTACTCAGTAGGTAAAAAATAAAAGATAAACTGCTGCAGCTACACAACCCTTGCTGCTGTGCAGTTGGTTTACTAATGGCAGCGGTGCGGCAGCGCCATCTATTAAGGAATTGCGAAAGGTTGTCTGCTGGTCTCTAAGCGCAGGAATTTTTGTTTTTTCACACTTGAGTGTCTAGAACTTTGTTCATTCACTACCAGGCCTTCACTGGTGTCACAAGCCATTTTCATTCCTGCAAATTATCTTAATTGTTTGTGGCGCTAGCAGCGCCATTAGTTCCTTCCTGCCCACGCACTGAGACAGCCAGAACTTTATCTCTTGGTGATTTCGTGTTCAGACGCTCATTTCGTGCATTTGATATGGCAAGTGTTGAACCAGTAGGTGGTGTGGGACAACCTGCTGTGAACGGGAACCCTCCTAAGCACCCAGAACTGCCAAAGGCAAAAAAGGGAGTACAGCGTTGGCAAGAAACGTGCAAAATATAGTTTGGTTGACAAAGCAATTTTTTTTTTTTTTTTAATAAACTTTTTCTGTGTTGTTTTTAGTTTTTATTTAACTTTATCTGTGTTATTTTCGTTGGTTTATTAGGATGTTGCTTTATTACAGGTAGTAATTTGCCAAAAAAGTAGGGAAAATAAGGCAAAATTTAGCCACACATCAAAAGTACCAGACTCAAATTAATTTTCTCCATAGGAAGTTGTACAGCTAGACCCCGACTTACGACGGGGTTAGGGACCCAAATCCAGGTCGTAAGTCCGAATGGTCATAAGTTTGACAGAAACAAAAAAAAAAAAAAAAAAAAAAAAATCTACAATGAAATACAGTACAGTAAAAGTAATAGATAATGATGAATGGATACAGTACAGTGAAAGTAATAAATAATGAGGAATGGATACAGTGTGACAGCACTTACCTTTAATGTAGTCAGCTGAATGCACATGGGGCCCCCATAATTTTCTAATTATGCATGGAGACTACATTAACTGGAAACGTTTCGGTACAGAAAATGCGTGTGTCATTTGAAGAAGAAGAAGAAGAAGAAGAAGAAAAAAGAAAAAAAAATGGTCACAACTGCGGCGGTCGTAAGTCCCGACGGTCATAAGTCGAAGCAGTCGTAAGTCAGGGTCTAGCTGTATTTAAATTTTGACGATTTGAATTTGTGAGGTTTTTACAGTCTAAATAGGTGTCCAAATATGAGAGCCTACACAGTATTAAATAATAGAACAAAATACGATATATAATTTGACTTCAAATAAAACAACAAGGTAAATCAATGTTGATAGTGCGGTGGTATCAGAGCAGACCGAGGGAGGCATGATTTAACAGCAGGTGACCTAAGTTCTCAGCAATGTTGAATAACTCAAGGATGCTTTTATGACTGCTGTGCCCAGCCTGCAACAGAGTGACAAACTCAGTGCACAGTTAAACAGTTTGGTAAAACCCTACAGGCAACATTATCAGGAGCTTAAACGTCACCGGCAAGCTTTAATCACCACCTATTTTATGCTTCAACAAATCAAGGAGAATCCAGTGATGATGAACCTGCCTCTCTGGAGATCGGTGATGAAGCTTAAATCACTTTACAAGTGTCTGCAGTTGATTTTGAAGGCTTTAATTCTGACTAGCCTTCACCCTCTGCCTCGGACCCCCTTCTCCCAGAGCTTCCACACCTCCACTATTCGGTGGAGACGGTGGAGTATAGCATATTAACTTCTTGGGCTTTCTTAAAATATTTATTTAATAATATAGATGCAGTTTATGTGACATTATGTGTAATTTTTGGAAGGTTAAGTTGGTTATCTAAAGTCTTTCTTGAGGAAAGGGCATTGCTTGCACAGATTTGTGCTACCAGTACGATATACCCACAAAATGAGACCCTACAGTACACCCAAATTACCAGTAGTTCATCCATGACATTTAGTTTGAAATGGTGCAGATATGGCCGAGATATAATATAGTACTGTACATGTATTACATTTTTGGCGAGTGTGGAAAGACACACAATGTCATTCCAATGCATCACAAACACCTTTTGGGGCACAGCATGGTAATTTATATCTAGGGATGGTCTGAATCATTAACATGAGAGCTCTCTCTTACCATTTACAAAAAAGTTTAAGATAAAAAATCACTTACATGAGTAAGGAGATCAAGGAAATGAACTCCATTTTTGTTCAGAGCAAGAATATGGTCCGTTCTCTCCTTCGGCTCCATTACTCTCTTAATGGCAAAGAAGGAAGACCCAAATAGTGGCCAAGTTTGGAGGATTTCTAGTGGGGAAAATGAAAAAGCAAATATTAACTTCGTCATCAATCATTCTTCAATAACTTTTGTGTATGATAATCAACTTCATATAAAAAAAGGAACATCATGCTTTAATATATAAAGAGACTTTACATATGTTACATAAATATGTTCCATCAACGTACCTAGAACTTGTGCCTTGGCTTGTAAGCTAGTGAGGGCAGAGACTTCTGGCCAAGCGGACTTAACCATGTTGACCCACTGTGGAGGCTTTACATCCCGCACAGTTAGCGCCGGTTTTGGCAACAAATATTTTACCTCTTTCATAGTGGGCACATCCTCAAGGTCTGCAGCACGGTGAAGAAGAGCAGCAACTTTGGCAATATCATACTGCAAAAATATTATGACTGTTAGAAGTACAGGTACAATACATGAAAATTTATAAGGGAAGAAACACAATTCCCAGATATATTTTTCTACAACACAGTACTGTATCCTACAAATATAATAGAGTAAGATATAACAATTACTTCAATAAATTAGGAGAAACTCTGAACCAAAGTAAAGTGAAAATCTATTAACACAACTCACAATAACTTCTTGCTGGAGTTGTTCTCCTGGTGTCACCAAGAGAAGCCCCTCAAGGTAGTCGGGAGCAATCTGATTGAACACCACCTCATAATATAAGGGGTTATCAGAACGCAGAGGGTAGTACCAAACACTTCGACAGAATATTAAATAGAATACCTGAAAACAATGACCTTCATAAGTATTTTAATTTTAAGTAGGATGTAGGAGATAAAGTATTTTTTAGGGTGATAGTAACAGTTAAAAGGCTAAGGCACATGGAGAAAAATTAATGGTATGAGCAAATAGCAAGGTTGAGATTTTATTTTTGTTTCAGTAGAGAAGAGGTGTTAGTTACTGTACTAGACTAATGATATAGCTACATGTATAAACTTGCTTTTGAGTTGGGTCCTAGTGCATCATGTTGTAGAAAAGAATATTACTCTACTTTCTTTATGTTTACACCACATTCTATGTATATTTCTGTAAATTTCTCGATATTTACTTAATTTTTCAACTCTGGTAGACGACTGATCACAGAGCTTACCTTCATTTTTTTTTTCATTCCATTCCACTGAAGGTGGAGAACATTCCACAGAATTAATGGTGGTAACAAGAGATATGAATACAATACAATAATGGAATAATGGCTAAAGCAAAACCAATTACAAGGAGTAAATGTTGTACGGAGAGCAGTTATGCAACTTAATTACTTTTACTTTTATCCTCTTTATTACTGATCGACTCGTTAGCCGCTGTAGACACCTACAGTACAGGGCATGCACTGTACGGTATATGAACCTGCTCCAGTGTTAGTCAAATCCAGGCTTGAAAGATCTCACATTTGGTGCAATCGCAACACTCTCGCAAGTTGTTCCAAGAGTTCACAATTCTCACTCAGAAAGTTTGCCCTCACATTTTTCTGGATTTGTAGCTTCTTCAACCTTGAGCTGTGTTCACTTGTGGGGCAGGCACATGCAAGCTCCAGGTATGGACACTCAGCCGAGTAGTGCCCTCTTATATGTTTATAAACTTCAATTAGGTACATCCCTTGCCTGTCTGTAGTATAAGCTAGGCAGTTGCAACTGTTCTAATCTCTCTGGATAACTGAAGTGCTGTAGTGCAGGCACCAGGTGGTTTGACAGCACTGAACTCCACAGAAGGAAGCACTTCACTCTTGAAGAACGTTATGAGAGACGGACTGTTTAGATATCTGAACGACCTTCTTATATAACCAATTAGTTTAGTCGCTTGACTCGCCTTCTTACAATGACCCAAGAACTTTAGTTCATTTGTCAACATACACACCCAGGTCCTTTTCCAATTCAGTCTCTGTTAATGCAGTTTCTTCGTCCCATTGGGACATGTGATGCACCTCCTTACTGTTGGTATGACCTAGGTGCATCCTCTTACACTTTGCGACATTGAATCTTAGCAGCCATTTTTTCGACCATTCTTGAAGCTGACAGAGATCTTTCTGTAGCTCCTCACAGTCTGTTTGGTTCTTAATTTCCCTGAATAATTTGGGATCATCTGCAAACATTTGTATGAAGGAATGCATAGCTTCTGGCAGGTCATTTATGTAACAAACAAACAACGGGCCCAGTACACTGCCTTGTGATACCCCGCTTGTCACGGGTACAGAAGACGATTTCGTACCATGCTAGGACATTTCCTCAAATCCCAGACCCTTCCAGTTTAATTCTCAGCCTTTCGTGGAGTACACCTTGGCCAAATCTAGGTATATACTGTCGATATTACTGCCCTGTTCCAGAATTTGAGTCCAAACATCCAGTACCTTGAGTAATTGTGTTAAGTAGGAGTGTCCCGGCACAAAACCATGTTGGCAATCCTTTACAAGGTTGTTTCGCAGTAGATGGTCCATCATGGCATCTCTTATAATACTCTCTGACACCTTACACACTATGCTGGTCATACTCACTGGTCTATATTTATTCATGGAATGACGATTGCCCTTCTTGAAGATAGGACTCACTGTAGCCATTTTCTAGTCACTGGACACCACGTCAGTGCCGGGGACTCTTATGAACCTCTAGCTTAGACAATATATTTCTTGTACCCACTTCCGAGAACACAAGTTGGGTCAGCGCTGTGCCAAACCGTCTTTCCTCAAATGTAGGAAGATTGTTCACATCCTCTTTTGTGAACATTGAGGAAGAATTTGTTCAGTGCCTCTGCCTTGTCCTGGTCAGAATCTGTGTAACTACCATCTTCAAGCCTCAGATCCAATATGCCTACTCGCATTTTTAATTTTGATTTTGCAAGGCGGTAAGAAGCCTTTGGGTTTGACTTGACCTTGCTTGCTATCCACCCCTGGAATTCCTTTTCAGCCCTTCTACATTTCGACTTTGCTTGTCTCCAGGATCTGGCATACAACCTCCTATCCTGCTCATCATTGTCCTAACCCACGTCATGAATTGCAGAGTCTCCTTGTATTCCTGGAGGCACTGGCTTACTAAGTTTGGTCTTTGAGTATATATTTATCAATCAACTGGTTCACGTTATTGGCTTTGACATTCAGCGTAGTGTCTGCGTTCTTATATCTTATATCATCCCGTCATAATTGCCCTTGTAATATTTTAACCTTGGCCTGCTTTTATCCTGAACCAAGTAACAGTTAAATCTGAAGGACAGCATTACATGGTGACTGGTGCCAATGGTGGCTAGGTGTTCCAGATTGGCCACCATACCCTCCTCATTAGATATTTCAAGGTCCAGCGGTTTGGGCGTTTGCTTCCCTCTGCAGTCGGATCTTTAACATGTTGAAATGAGTAGCAAGATAATGTAGACAGTTGACAACAGGAGAAAGGTAAAAGAACAGTATGTATAAAGCAACAAGGCACATCTCTTGTGTGCAACAGGTCAAAGCATTTAATGAAAGTAATACCTTTCCCACTGTGTATGGGCAAAGGGTATGATAAAGGTGGATGTATGAATTAATGACGATTTAATTATTTTTGTACATATTCCTGGTGATATACATGTATGGTCTCCGTTAGCCAAAACAATTGGTGCAGAGCACTTCCTGGAAAGAGAGATTTCCGGGTAACGAGATGACTCTCAAAGCAGGGGAAAAAAATTCCCTCATCCCCGGAATTTCCAGGTAACGGAAAAATGATCTTGAAAGTTTCAGAAATTGCATATTGCATCATCTCTCAAACCTGGAAAAAACTCCCCCATCCCCAGAGTTTTCTTGAAATTTTCCAGAAAATGTGCCCCTCAGAAAATCGTTCTCAAAGCCGGAATTTTCTGAGAAAATTTCAATTCCGGCTATCGGAGAGTTCCGATTAAAAGCGATTCCGGCTAACGGAGACATTACTTTACAAACTAATTTTTGATGAAGGAACAAGAACAAATATAAGAAGTGTAAACTGATAATTTGTTTATATTTCAGCTATATGACAAATAAAAATGAAAATTAAAAGTACAGTACACCCTTGCCATTCACGAGTTTGCGTTTCACGGTAAGCCATGGTGGCTAGCTTGCAAGCTTTTTCCCGCAGCACAACAAGTCACCCCATGCAGCATCTCATGTTGTACTCTCAAAACATTAGTGTTTCTGTGTGAAATGGACCTTGAAAGACTGCCTAGTATCAGTGCTAGTGATGCTAGTGGAGTGAAATGTAAAAGGCAGAAGTCAGTGATGACCCTGACAAAGAAAGTTTTATTATTAGATAAGTTAAGAGAGGGAATGAGTGCTGCCACAGCTGGTCAGTTGTTTGGTATAGGTATACAGTAATGCACTAAGGTAGTATAAGTAGCTATTCGGGGTTTTGCCAATTAGCGCCACTTCTTGGAACCTATTCTTCGTAAATGGCAAGGGTCTACTGTAATGGCTCTTTATGCATACAATGAGGAAAGATGAATGCAACTGGAAACTTACTTAAATTATTTCAAACTATGATACAATTCAAACTGTTAAATAACAGGGTTGCGTATTGTCAATATATTCCTGGAACAAAGGGGAAAACAAGGAATTGTGAGATGGAAGTAAATCATAGTAACATACTGAAAGCCATCACAGGTGGAGATAAATCCAATAATACATACCCGGTAACTTGAAAAGATAAATTATCTTAGTTACATAAGCATACGTATACTGTAGTGCCAAAGTTCATTTTGTTGCAGTCAACATTAATTAAAAAAAATTATTTCTTTTTCATTTTCAGTTACAGTGCACAAGTCTATATATTTTTGTTTTATGATTTTCTTAAGAGCATTTAGTTTAGGAACTTTTATCCACCCCAGGTGGGTAAATTTTTCTGGAAAAGTAAATATTAGATAAGTTACAAATATTTCAACAGCAAGTATGGTAAATGCTTGCATTCAATATGTAACACACCTGTAACACAACTTCATATCATAATCTTTTATAAATAACCTCTTGATATCATGTACCGGTAATGAAAGATGACTGTTCAATGATCTCAATACTTCACGTTACTGTTCAATTACCTGCTGGTTTTTCAGTAGTTCTGTGGTAACATCAAGAATGTATTCCTCCCTTGCCAGAGGCATGGTGAAGGTGTCACCCTCCACGATACAGTACAAACTGTATTCCTCCTGTTCATGTGGGGACCTCACACCAATCAGGTTACACATCTCCTCAATGATGTCCTGTTAAAAAAAGGTAGAAAGGATTAAATCTATAGCTGGAAATACATCTTTTTTTTTTCCTGGAAACAAACCTAGATATTTAAATTTGAATTTTTACATAAAATTTGCCTCATATTACTAAGTACTGTGTTGTATTGATAATCCATTAATGCAAAGTTTTGGTGGGCAGCACAAAAAACTCCTACATGGCTTCAAGCAGAGGAGGGAGGAGTCGATGAGAAACAGGGACAGGTGTGCATGAATTATATACAGAGGGAGGATAGTAGAAGCAAGGGAGACAGCACAGAGCCAGGGTACAGAGGATACCCCCTACCCGCTCTACCTCCCACCCTGGAGGAGGCGAGTGCCACGTAAACAATGACATCTCTGACCACACCCCACAAAATACAAAGTATTTAGCAAATGAAGCAGCTGCTGAGAATGAAGGGAGGCTGGTGTCACTACCAAAATTAGGGACGTTACCAAGAACAAATTCAGGTTTGAAAGTCATGTACACTAATACTGACATGTTCCTTGATAAGAGAGAAGAGTTTGAAACACTACTGAAAGCACACCAACCCAATATAGTAAGTGTTGTAGAACTGTTGTGCAAGAGCAGGATAATCGACCCAAAGGAATGCGAGTTCAGTATAGACGGATATGACTCATTTATGAACCTTTCTCAAGCAACTTGCAAGAGGAATGTGGTTATCTATGCTAGTCAAGACCTTAGAGCCAGCCAGGTGAGGGTACAGTGAGAGGATGTTTTGAAGAATCAAAGTGGCATAAAATTAAATTAAAGGGGAGAGACTTCCTTATTGTCGGGTGTATCTACAGATCCCCAAACTGTAGCTTATTAAACCCAAGGACCTTAAGAGCCTCAATAAACAATGCAACGGTGCTCAATCCTAGCAACCTCCTTGTCATGGGGGACTTTAACTATGGCAACATCGACTGGAGAAATGAGACCACGCAAAATGACTTAAATAATCCCGTTACTCTTTTCGAAAAACTCGAGATAATTTTCTGTTCCAACATGTTAAAGACCCGACTCATTACAGAGGGCAGCAAACACCCAACCCACTGAATCTCATCATAACAAACAAGGAGGGTATGGTGGCCAAGCTGGAACACCTAGCTCCCATTGGCACCAGTCACACACATAAAGCTGTCCTTCCTATTTAACAATTACTTGGTTCACGACAAAACCAGGCCAAGGTTCAAATATTACAATGGAAATTACCACAAGATGAGGGAGGAGATGAGGGGTATCCATTGGCCTGACTCACTAAGGTATAAGAATGCAGAAAATGCACTGAATATCATAGCCAATAAAGTGTACCATTTGATTGATAAATATATACCCAGGACCAAACCCAGTGCCTCCAGGAATACAAGGAAACCCCTACACATGAACCATGCAGCGGTAGACAAAATTAAGAAAACTCACATTCAAAACGTGGGTTAGGACAAACGATGAGTATGATAGGAGGATGTATGCCAGATCCAGGAACCAAGCAAAGTCTGAGTGTAGAAGGACTGAAAAGGAGTTCAAGATGCAGATTGCAAGCAAGATCAAGTCAAACCCAAAAGCTTTTTACTGCTATGCAAAGTCAAAATTAAAAATGTGAGTAGGAGTATCAGACCTGAGGCTTGAAGATGGTAGTTACGCAGATTCTGACCAGGACAGGGAGGAGGCGTTGAAAAGTTACTTTTACTCGGTGTTCACAAAACAGGATGGGAACAATCTTCCTGCGTTTGGAGACAGACAGTTCAACATTCGGGCGACCTGTGGTGTAATGGTAGCATCCTCGCTTCACAAGCGAGCGGACCCGAGTTCGATCCTCGGGCAGGGAGAAACTATGGGCAAGTTTCTTTACACCATTTGCCTCTCTCTCTACCCAGCAATAATTGGGAGCCTGGATGTTAATCAATTTGTGGATCGTGTTCTGGGGTAATGGTTAGTCAGTGCAGTGCAGTTGGCAAGGTCTTCTCGGACTATTCCTTGACACTGGGTCATGCAGCTCGTTAACTTAGGGTGTGGTTGTTGTGTTGGCGACAGCTTTTATAACCTTAAAACAAATTCACGCCTAGGTGGCCCTTGGGCTGGCAATCCTCGATTTCAAGGGGCTTCCATTATATTTATTATATATAAATTGTAATAAAAGTTTAAAGTCTTGCTATAATAGTCAAGATAAGTTTATTTCTCTAGAAACAAGGCCGCCATTTGCAATGATGTCACTAGTTTCAAACTCATCACTGCGGTCGAAGGTAGTAGAACAGATGGCCTCTTCAGACCCCAAACGCCACGTTCAAGTAAGTTTTAAGGGCTTTTTCTTTTTTTATGGTCTAAGTCATGGACATTTTGCAAGTGAAGAAATGTGCCATGAAGAGCAGCTTCAAACATAGGTTGGATGGATATATGAGCGATAAGGGTTGGGTGTAAATGGAGCTGCCCAGTATGAGACAATAGGCCCGCTGCAGTTTCCTCCATTCTTATGTTCTTTTGGACATAAAACACTCCTATGTTCAGCTCAGCTCAGTCTACCAGGTAGACTTTCTCTTTTTTTCTTTCTTTTTTTCAGTGCATTTACAGAGAATATCAGGACTAGATGGAGATACGAGCAAGTTTAGAAGTAATCACATTGTGTGGACTTTGTTCTGAGAATGCCTGATGCTAGGTAAACATGACAACATAGTGTTGTTATTGTTTTGAGGATTCACGAATGAACCACCAGGATATATCATTTATATTAATTAATGGGTAAAATTTACTTTAACTAACATGAATATTTGGAAGCTTAGGTTCGAGTTAGGCTATATTGGGTAAATTTTAAGTTTTGGTACTTACACATGCAGTCTATGTTTTTTTCCGATGGTTTGCGATGTGTTATGAACGATTTAGACCTTCATTTCTCTCGGAAATTACTAGTTTTGAGCTACTACCCCCCCCCCCTTACTGATGTATGTTAAGCTAACCATATAACTCATCATACCCTAACCTAACCTAACATATGATCTTTATTTTCTTATGCGATCGAAAAATGTTTTGCGACAGAAATCCTGTAGGGATAATGTGTCTTATTGTTTAAAGTACTTAATCCCGTAGTTAGAATCTTATGGTTCCCAGATGACTAAAACCAAAATACAAAATGCCAATAATGTTTGGGAAGTTTATGCTAATATCCATTGAATTAGTTTACGTGCTTTGTAATACTGTATTTATATATTCAAAATAGTATTAATGTTTCACAGTAAAGCACAATTAATTATCTAATAATATTTATTTACAGAGCCAATCAGCCGAGAAGGTTGGACAATTACAGCTCGCCCCCAACCAATGACGTCACAACCCATCACAGAACTTTTCGCAGTCACGTGAATTTTTAGCAACTTTAACCTTTATTTTTAACACTTTTTGGCCCAATTTACTTTAAATATCATTACTGTACCATAGTGAATTTAAGCGTTTTCTTTACCCATTGACCTGCCATCTTACAAAAAAATTCCGACCGTCAACTCGTCCTTTACTCAAGGTAATGGATGTTTGGATCCAAATTCTGGAACAGGGTGGCAATGTTAACAATATATACCTAGATTTGGCCAAGGCTTTCGAAAGCATACCCCATGAAAGGCTGAAAATTAAACTGGAAGGGTACAGGATTCGGGGAAGTGTCCTAAAGTGGATCAGAAGTGCGGTATTTAACCCCTTCGCTGTAATTCTCGCACTCACCATTTTATTTGGGCTTCCGCCAGATGATTTTATTCAGCTTAGGGTAACCTCCCGCAGCCAAAGGTTTAAAACCTACCTTGATCAACCCTTTTGCTGCAATTCCCACACTCACCATTTTATTCAGTTTAGGGTAACCTCCACAGCCAAAGGGTTAAAGAAGAATGAACAAGCAATTCGTGATTCTGTTCAAGCGTGTGCTCCTGCAAGTGCTAAAGTTTGTGACAAGAACATAGTGAAAACGGAGAAAGCACTGAACATTTGGATTGAGGACCAGCACCGCAAAAATTTTCCGATCGACAGCAATGTAATTCCTGAGAAGGCTAAACGTCTTTATACACATTTTTATGAGTCAACAGGTAGCAAAGGGGTCAGTGCAGCGACTGAACCAACGTTTAGTGCCAGTAAAGGTTGGTTCAAGAATTTTAAGTAAAGATTCTCTCTCCATAAAGTGAAGCTGACTGGGGAGGCCGCATCAGCTGACTACACAGCCACAGATGCATTTCCCGCCAAGTTAAAACAAATAATAAAAGAGAAAGGCTATAGAACAGAGCAAGTGTTGAATGCCGATGAATCCGGTCTATATTGAAGGAAAATGCCTGGTAGAACGTACATTAAGAAGCAGGAGAGGCGTGCTCCTGGGTTCAAGGCAGCCAAGGACAGAGTGACTCATCTTCTGTGGCAGTGCAGATGGCCACATGACCAAATCTGGCTTGCTTTATCGCTCAGCAAACTTTTGCGCTTTAAAGGGTAAAAACAAGAACCTTTGTGTGTGTGTGTGTGTGTGTGTGTGTGTGTGTGTGTGTGTGTGTGTTAAAAGTGTTCATCGTGTCTTGAATTGTATGCAATTCCCATCAGTTAATTAATAACTAGACGTTGTTAGAAGTGGTTTTTGCTTTAGCTATTTGTACTATATTACAGTACAGTGGTCCCTCTCGGTTAACGAACACAATTCGTTCCAGAAGGTCGTTCGTTAACCGAAAATTTCATTAACCGAAACCATTGTTTCAATGGGATTTTGGGTAATTGGTTCCAGCTCACCAAAAATTACATACAAAGTAAAAATAAATGCAGTAAAGTACACTTACTTTGAGGTGTGTATGTAGAAGGCTCTTGGTTGATGATGATGAGAATTAGAAGTGGGGGTGGAGGAGAAGGGAGAAGAGAAGGAAGTCAGGGTGGAAGAGAAATCACCCCATGCTTCATGCCGTCATTTCACCCATAAAATTTTAAGTTCACTAGGTGTAATTCAAGATTATTTCTTTAAATCAACACTGCACTGCACTATATATTGTCAATATGTAAAAAAATTTCAGAATGGCCAATAATTGCTCAAGAGAGCCACGAGCAAGATGTTACCTCCACTGACCAGAGATACAAACTGACGCCTTGCTGGGTGAGTCAAGTGGCTGATTGGTGCACCAAAAACTAGTTTTCTGTACTGCAATTATGTTAAATAAGTGTTAAAATGACTAAAAATTTTAATATGAAACTTGGAAAATTATTGAATAGTACAACCTTCTTGATATTTACTCACATGGGAACAAATTTAAGCCCTAGAACCAATTACTCTATTAGCGGACTAATATTCCAGCTGGTGAGCAAGCGAAAACGTTGACATGATTTCGTAAAAATTTTGATAACCGAATTTTTGTTCGTTAACCGAATTGAAGATTCTTATGGGAGGTAATTCGTTAACCGAGGCGTTCGTTAACCGAGGGATCACTGTATATGCTATGTATGTAATTATGACCAAGGGCTTTTGGGACTGGGGGCTGCAGCTCCCCCAAAATTTTGGGTAGCTTAAAAATTCAGACAATAGCATCAATGAATATGTCCTAATATCCAGTAGATATGGCTTCAATATGTCCCTGAAAATGTTCAGATTTAAAATTTTTTTGAGGGGATTGTCTAGTACTTTCCACACTATGTTTGTCAAGCTCACCGGCCTATAATTATTTGTGGAGTGGTGATATCCCCGTTTCAATATTGGACTCACATGTGCCATTTTCCCAGTAACTGGGGTATTTTCCTCATCCATTCACCTGCAGAGCAGAATTTTTAGGGGCCTGGCAAGCACATTGCTCTTTAGGATGCACACTAGCAGGGCCAGAGCTGTTATGAACCTTTAGCTTCAACAATTTGTTCCTAATATACTCCTGAGAACATAATGTACATCAACGGTGTCAAATCGCCTTTCCTAGAGCGCAGGGAGATTGTTCATATCATCTCTTGTGAACAGTGAGGAAAAGAATTTGTTTAATGCCTGTCTGTGTAACTATCATCTTCAAGTCTCATATTAATATGCCAACATAGGTCTTTAACTTTGACTTTGCATAACTGTAGAAAGCCTTAGGGTTTGACTTTACCTTGCTTGGAATCTGCCTCTGAAACTCTTTTTCAGTCCTTCTACACTCTGACTTTGCTTGGTTCCTGGACCAGCCATACATCCTTGTGTCCTGCTCATCATCTGTCTTGACCCATCTCTTGAATTTCTGAGATTTCTTTTTAACTTTGTCAGCTGCTGCATACTTTATGTGTATTGGTCTACTTGTATTCCTGGAGCCAGTAGGTTTGGATTTGGGTACATGTTTACCAATCAATAGTTCAATTTACCGACTATGATGTTCAGGGTAACATCCACATTCTTGTTTACCAGCGAGTCAGGCCAATGAATATTCCTATCTCCTCCCTCATCCTAGGCCAATGAATACTCCTAATCTCCTCCCTCATCCTGTCATAATCACCACTATAATATTTGATCTTTGGCCTGCTGATATCATGAACCAAGTAACAGTTACTCTAAATATGAAGGACAATGTCACATGATGACTGGTACCAATGGGGGCTAGATGTTCAAACTTGGCCACCATACCCTCTCCTTGTTAGTTATGATGAGGTCCAGCAGTTTGGGTGTTTTTTTCCTTTTGTATTTTTCTCCATTGTACCTCATCCATTCTCTTCTAATCACAAATCTTATTTTACCTATCATTGTAAAATAACAAATTTGACTTGAGACAGCCCTACATTATCACGTCAACCGTGGAAAAACATGAATCTGTTAGGTGCTCCAAATCGGAATTGAATCATAGGATGATTTGGTAGAAAAGGCAACAGGTCTTGGAAATGTAAAGTTCTCTATGCGAGTATTTCAAGCCTATGCGAAGGAGATATGTCTAGTGGATGGCTGCCCCACTAGAGGTCACAGTCTCAGGTTAAAGAAATTATCAGCACAAAGAACTGCCTGCGTTAACTTCTTTGGAGCAATGTAAACTTTTGGAACCTGTCTGAAACTAATGTGATAGCACCAAGTGTGAGCTCATTTAAAACCAGACTTGATCAACATTAGCACATGTTCATGTACATTCAAGAGCCCATAAATGTCCAATATTTGCCAACAGTGCATAAAATTTAACAGACTGACCACTAAACTGGCTAGTAAGCTGACAAATGGTGAAGAGGATAAGTAAGTAAGTAAGCTCTCCTATTGAGAACTGTCATGAGGAAGAAAATTTTTCTTTTCTTGGTGAAAATATAATACACAAGTTCTCCTAACCTGCACGACAGAAGTACTCTTGGTGTTGATGACTCGTTCAGTTCCTCCTGGAAGTCTGTAGATTTGTCGCTTTGAATTGCGACCAGCAGTAATAGCCGTAATTTCTTCGATACTTGGAACATTTTTCCGTCCACCATAATTGAAAGTTTTGCGCAGGTTTTGTAAACATACCATTGCTGTACCTGTAAATAATTTTCAGATACATAAATTCAGTTCATAAAACTAAATTACAAAATTAGCAATTACATGAGGCATCACTTTCAGCACTGTGTGAAAACTTTAACAGATCCAGATAGTGGAGAACAGATGAATAAAAACCTGTAGTTAAAAACTAGCACTCACCATGATATGCTCTCCTTTTATCATATGCTGCAGTTTCAAGATACTTAAAGAGGTAGGGCTTGAGGTTTTCTGAGCAAGTGAAGTAGGCTGCCACAATAGAGAAGAGCCTCCACCCCCTCTGACAGGAGTCAGGGATGGACGACTTATTATTGGTAGTCTGCTTCATGATCTGGCAATACACCTCATCTCGTAATACATGGTGCTTGTGACAGTTCTGTTGAGTAAAGAGTGAAATTCCCCCAGCTGTTCAAAAATATTTCCATTAACAAAATACTATAGCTTAAAAAAATGCTCATAGGTCAAAATTTATGTCAACTCATGACATAAATGTGCAACAACAATAAAAAAAATAAAATAAAAATAAAAATAAATGTAATTACCATAGAAACAAATTTTATCATTTAATATTACAGTAGAACCTCGATAAACTGGACTAATTGGGGCAGAAACCAGTCTGGAAAATGCCAAAGTCCCAAAAAAATTAATCTATGGGGGTCTGGACATAACCCTGCTTATTTGGACTGTTTCCGGAAAATCACCGATAGGACTGTTTTAAACTGTAAAGTGTTTACTCTTAGTATAAATTGTAGGAGTGCTTCTCCATGTGTATCAGGTAGGAGTGTGTCACCAACGAAATGTCAGAATAAAAAATCACAAGTCAGTCAGAAGTGATAATTTTCTCTTGTGCGAAAGTGAAGGAGACCACGAAGTACAGCCTACGATTTTAAAAGGCTTTATATTGAACAGTTCTTCAATCTGCAGGAGAATGTATGAATACAGTATTGGTTAATACTCGTCAAATGACTCAGAGGCACCACCAACACAGGAAAAGATGGGGAGTGGATGTGTAGTAATTAATATTGTACAATAGTTGTATCTGTTAAGGCAACTTAAATATGTCTGATTACAGATGAAACATTCAAGATCCCTTTTGAGTGATGTTGAAACTTCAACTGTCTTTATTGTTAGTAAAACTTGTCAAGTGAGTGAGTGTCAAGTCTGCCAGTACGAGAGGCATGTCCTTATATCGTCCTTGGGGATAGCCATGAGTTTTCTAAGTACTACTGAAATTATCTAATTATCAAATTATATATATATATATATATATATATATATATATATATATATATATATATATATATATATATATATATATATATATATATATATATATATATATATATATATATATATATATATACAGTGGGGTATGCTATAACGAATCTAATTGGTTCTAGAACCTTGTTCGTTATAGCATTCGTTCGTTATAGGATTAATCCGTTCCAGGCCCCCAAATACAACCACTTAACACTGAAAAATATAATATAAAATTGTAAAAATTGTAAAAAAGTGCATAAATATGCATCTAAACCCCTGAAATAATGAGTATCATTAATACTTGTAATAAAAAAACAATAAATTAGTAAAAAAAAATAAATAAAAAAAAAATAAATAATGTTCGTTGTAGGAGTTTCGTTCGTTATAGCATTCTCAATTTTATAGGTAAAACCGTTCGTTATAGGAATATTCGTAGTAGGATCCGTTCGTTATAGCATACCCCACTGTATATGTATATATGTATATATATATATATATATATATATATATATATATATATATATATATATATATATATATATATATATATATATATATATATATATATATATATATATATATATATATATATATATGCTGATAACCACAAGGAAAGAAGAAAACACGAAGTTCCCAAACGCTTTCGTGTAATTCACATCTTCAGGGGTGAGTACAGACTAAGGAGAAATACAAACCAAGGTGTATATATACAGAGGAGGGTGAGACCAGGTCCACAATGATCAGGTATTAGGTAATGACCCTACTAATCTTTAAATAGCACACAACGCATACAAGAAAATAAAACTAGAAAAATCTGTCTTAAACAGCTATAGATAAAAGAAATAGGAATAATAAAAATTGACTGGAAAAGGGAAACAGCAAACTTGTCTCCCCTTACATGAGAAGCAAGGTGCAGTGCACTGGTAATACATATGAATGCATGACACCCAGCACATATGAACACACAATTTTCGGGACTTTTCCTTTTTTAATATCTCCGATAGAGAGAGAGAGGCAGTGTGGAGCACCTCGGAAAGTCCAAAAAAAGTGAATTCTGATATACAGTATTGACATCTGATTTATCGAGGTTTACTGAGCATGTTATTTTAAAAAGCCACGTAGCGACGTGTCCTTCTAATATTACTTATTAAGTAATTATTAGATGTTTTAATTGCCTGTATGTTGGCCTGGCGAGTTATTGCTAGGCATTAACATACCTAGGTTAAAGCTAAGCGTCGCATTCTGGGTTGAACAGAAATAAAGATACCAGAAAGAGACTCCTAAAGAACAGACAATAATACTTAAATTAAACTTCAATATCATTAATGTTACATATTTAGCATTACAGTATATACAGTACCTGTGATCCTCTTTCCTATCACATCAACATAGAATAAGTGAGTTACCAAGACTGTACTTATCCCACTAACCATGAGAATAGTGTAGACACAATGAACTTCTGTGTGTTGGGGTGCCATTGGGTAGTCTCCCATGTAACGCATCACTGCCACAAAGCTCTCAACTGCCATCTGACTTAACTCTGGTTCCAGAGGCAGCAGCGAGGCAGAGAGTGGCGACTGACTGAACTTGACCATCTCAATCTGTGAGTAAATTGAATGATTTGGTATTCACATCAAATTGTCACTTGTTAGCAGAACGTGCCAGCATCATTCTGAGCATGTTATATATACTATATCAAACCTTCCCTGTCTGTCATTAGTTTAACCACCTCTTGAAAGCTTGTTAAGGCATCAACTACAGTATTTGTAGCAAGTACTAAAATTTATTGTAATTATTAGTCCCAATCGAAATATGCTTTTATTGATCTGATCACTTTGTTGTAGAAGGGTCATAAAGTCAGTCAGCAAATATGCTCTGAGATCTTATCTAGAAGAGCATTCCACCATTACATTAAAAGTTAACACAAAATGAATGATTTAATGTACATACAAGATTTATGTTTACAGACAGACAGGTTCCACAGATATCCATAGCTCAAAGCCTTCACATCACAGCCTCATTGTTTCATGATGAAAAAAAAGGGACTTACTCTCTATCAAGCTACAAAACCAGAGACCATGAAAAGTAAATATCGATTTACACAAGACTTTTTATTATGCTTATTCATCAAACAATTTCTTTCATTTCTTCTAATGATCTTGTGGGCACTACATACTGTACTAAAGAAAACTAATCTGGTACCTATTTAAGTTGTCTAAAATATTACAGATTAAGCAGTTCTCACTCAACAGTTTTCAGGTACAGCATGCCCTGAAAATTCACGGATTTTTAATTCACAGTCCTCGATTATTCGCGGTTGACAACCTTTCATGTCAGCGGGTAGTTTTAAAGTTGCCGGCATTTTTGCGGCCAGGACAGAGAGCTATTCGTTTTAGAGATTAATTTATCTTACCTGCGCGCGCACGCACGCACATGCACACACACACACAAATAAATAATAATGGGAAAATCCTTTCACAAATAATCAGAAACAAGACAACAAAATATATTGAAATGCAGAAAAAATGTGAGTCTACCCTCAAGTCAACTCCGTGTTTTGTTATTAAAGAAGAGTTAACTTTAATAACAAAGCACGGAGTTGACTTGAGGGTACTCACATGTTTTCTACATTTCGATATATTTTGTTGTCTTGTTTCTGATGATTTGAGAGTATTTTCCCATTATTATTTGTACCTGTGTGTGTGTGTGTGTGTGTGTCTGCACACACATACAATACAGGTTAAAGATTTTACTGTTTCTAGAACGAATGGCTCCCTGTCCCGGCCGCAAAAATGCCAGCAACTTTAAAACTACCCTAGACATTCTTGGGTGCATCCAGGGTGTCATCCGCAAATTGTCAGGGCATGCTGTATCCTTTCCATCTTCTTCTTTAATTACATTTACAACAATAATAGTTCTGAGAAAAGTAATCCCTTCTACCCTGTACTGTACACCCAAATACTGTAGAAAGATACTCTGCCCTTCTTCATGTCAGGAAAATACTGCTCAATTCTATACATGTCATGCTTCTAAGTTTCACGTTTCAGTCCTTATTTTTCTATGATCATCTCGTTCTCTCTTTGAATATATTATTTTTCATATAGTACTGTATAGATATTGCAGCTTTTGGGATGCAAAGCAAATACATATTTCCAATCATAAATATGCAAACAGCTGTCCATTTTCTAACTGTATTAAGTAAATTTTCCATGCATGGTGGACAAAGGGCACAATGTAAACTATTACAGTGTATTATACCAAGCAATGACAAGATAATTTTTACCTTGATTTCAAACATTCTTATCAATAGGCCTACTCATGACTAACCTGTTCCTTCCATGTCCATTCTGCTACATGATCTTTGTTGCCTTTCTTCTTTTTACTTTTGTTGGTCTGAAGCGTCCCATCAGACTGCACAATGCCTTGCTCCTTGGATAATCTGAAGTGCTGAAGGGCAAATTGCAGCAAGGAGTGTTTCCCATCATGAACCACTGGCTGACTCCCACTAATTCCACTTCCTGGCCCACCTCCACTTCCTGGACCACCTCCACTACCTGGACCAACTCCACTACCTGGACCACCTCCACTACCTGGACCAACTCCACTACCTGGACCACCTCCACTACCTGGACCACCTCCACTACCTGGACCACCACCTTCTCCACTTGAGGAATGCCCAGAGTCATCGTGGTGGGTGTGGATACGCAAATTGGAGTGAGAAATCGGTTGCTGAGTCCAAGTACCAGTGCTTACAGCACTACGGACATCTGACTCATTTTCTATCAAGCTCGTTTCAATGACTTCAACCTGAGTCTGAAAACAAAAAACATGGATTAAAGAGAAATCTTTTGCAAATTATCCTTATACATACAGATATCACCAATGATATTTTGATTGCCAATTCCACTCCTCATTACATGTACTGTACTGTACCTCTTTTTTCCATACTCTTCTCTACAGTTTTTCATTCCCCTCCTATGATTAAAATTAAAACTCTGTTTCACACCTTCACTGCCACTATGACAAACACAGCACACTCACACTTGTCCTAAACTCTCTCTACCCTATACTGTATATTGTTCTGTGGCCCATCATAATTTCCTTGTTCAGTTTAGCTAGCAGTACTGTACTCACCTTGGCAGTGGTGGCATTAATAGCACTAGCAGCAGCAGCAGTCCTGGCCTCAGACCTACCAATGGGCACGACATAATCAACAGGAAAGAGTCCAGTGTGGCCATCTAATGTACCCTGTAGCCAACCTAGAACAAGAAAAACAAAACACAGTACAGTCTAGTATTAATGTCAAGCGTGCATTATCACTATGAAGGTGTTGACCAATTGGCAACTAGTTGATTATAGATTCATTGAAGAGCCTTAGGATTCCCTCTAAAACCCAGAACACATACTAAAAAACTGAAATGCCTACATAAGTCAGTAGTCTCAAGATGTACTCTACATTTTGCCTTTCTTCCTATATGCATTCATCATTTAACCACTTACCAGCTTACTAGCCATTCAGGTGGTTGGTCTCTTCTTTGTTACTATGTTATGAACTTGATTGACCAGTGTTACTACAAGAGAAAAGCAGAGTACGTACCTGGAGGAAACTTGTAGCACGAGAAATGTGTGTTACCGCTGTACCACCAACACCTAAACACCACAACACATCCTACAATTCAGTAGATTAAAGGTGCCTCTTAAGCTCATGATGCCTCCAATTACACCCAAACAATCAGACATAAAAAAGTATGCACAAGTTGTGCATATAAACTTCAATTTTAGGAGTTTTTTAAGGCTTACATTGTACCCCCTAGGAATCTTTACCTATGTGTAAATGCTAAAATGAGAAATTAAAAATTCCATTAAAATTATTAAGCTCCATAAATAAAAGAAAATATGAATGCATGCATGAGTTGTCTTCTTCCCAGTACTTTTGACTGTAAATTAATAGTTTTAGGTTGTTTGTTAAGGCTCACATTGCACCCCACCCTACCAGGAAGTTTGACCAATGTATAATTTTTGCGAGTCAAAACTTTATTAAATATACAGTTGGTCCTCATATTACGCGGTCCCGCATTCCACGTTTCACCGTTAACGCGGTGCCTTGCCAGAACCTAACATTTTCACATTCCGCGGTCGTGAACCCCATTACGCGGAGAGCGGCTGGCAAGCCGCGCCATTTTTGGATCCAAACCTCCCGCCATCCGCCATGTTGTGTAAGAGGCGCGAAAATGGTGCGCACAAGGTCGCCCAGTCATCAAAACATGACCAGTTCTTCACCCGCCACCCACTACAGCCGGCCCAAGTCAGTGATAGTGATAATTATAGTGAGGATATGGACTTATATGAACTTTGGGGGGTTTGACAAAGAGGCCCTGCAAGCCTCTGTGGTGGATAGTGATACAATTGATACAAGTGATACAGGTGAGGGCCAATAATCTGCCCTCTGCCTCGGAACCAACCGCCCATCCCCGTGTGCCCAGCCATCTTTTCTACTAATGTAAGTGTTAAAAAACCTAATATTATTGATATTTCTCTTAATTATTAATTGTGTGTGCATGCCATCATAAAGTTAAGATAATATTTTTACTACAACATAGTTGTGTGTCGTCAAAAAGTGGAGTTTGGGGATCGGCCCGGACTCCATTTCAATTAATCCCATATGTTATGTTATTCACTTTACGCGTTTCTCACTTTCCGCGGTACCCTCCGGGTTACATTAACCGCGTAATATGAAGACCAACTGTAGTTGGTACATTTAGCAGATAAAATGTTGTGAAAGTACCAGAGTTGTAAAAAGTACCGGACTTTGTTACTTAAGTAAAAATATTATTACATTGGCAAAATGTTACTCAAGTAGAAGTAAAAATATCCAAAAATCAATGTACAGTATTGCACTCAAGTAGAAGTAAAAAAAAAAAAAAGTATCTCATTCATAAAGTACTCAAGTACTGTACTGAAAATAAAAATTAACGACAACATACTGTATACTATGTGTATCACCTTTAATTCCTTCATATAATTGCCACCCCTGAAAACACACTTTAGAATGCATGTGCCCTATTCTCTCATGGGTGGTGGCAGCACTGGTAATTACTGTAAATAATTGAAAGGTGAAATAATGTACAATGATATGTTTTCCCAGATAAACCCACAGAAAAGAATATAAATAAATACTGTAAGTTGGAATTCATGATGAAGTAAAGTGGAAATAAGATAATTAGGAAACAACAAAGCTGTTTCCCTCTTACAAATGGTGTTACATCAATAGAATGTACAGTACAGTATAAAAAAAATCAGTGCCCTCACACTGCTATGTACAGAACTTTCTCATGTACTGAATGTACAGTAGAGTATGCAGAACTGTAATCACATTTTATGTCTTAACGCTGCTTTAACACTGTATTCTTAGCTGATTGTGTCCTGGTACAGTAATGTACAGTACTGCACAACACAAATTGTATGCAAAAACAGAAACGAGCATCTTTATGAAAAGAGAAGAGTCATTCTTCTGACATTCCTGTTTAAAGATATCACAGCAGTTTATGGCCATACACTAGGTGCCAGTTGATATAGTTTTCATTGTTAGGAACATTTATTTTATGTTCTGTTTTTTGTTTATTTTTGTATATTGTAATAGTTTCCTTATGTTACTTTCAGATATCTTGTGAGAGGAGTTGATTGAAGTTTGTTTAATGGGCAAACAAGTTTTGCGTCATCCCACATCAATTTCATCAACTCCTGTTTGTTGTAGTGATCAGCCATCATGGAAAAGCAACTGAGACTTGCTTGCCTGGATCTGGATCCCAACTCTCCCACAGCTGCTAAAGGATGGAAACACCGGTTTCCTACATTCACCAATTTCATAGCAGAGTTGTGAAAATGCACCTGATAAATTACGAACTCTTTTGTTTGACTATATCGAGGAATTACAAACTATGACACTGCTATTGAAACATTTCAGAATGCTTATGTGAAAGCTCCAAATGAAATATTCACTCGCCACCCACTAGCAACCAGACGACAACAACCTGGAGAATCTCTCGAATTCCTTCAAGAACTTCGAAAGCTAAGTAAGGACAGCAATCTGAAAGCTGTCACTGCAGAACAATATCGTGAAGAGTTGATCCGTGATTCTTTCACCTATGTTATTGCTTATCCTTTTATAAGGCAATGACTACTGGAAAACAACATGCTTGATTTGCAAAGTGCATATAATCAGGTATATACTCTGGACTTGGCTCAAAAGAATTCTGATGCTTATGTTTCCCCAACTGCACACACTGATGCCATAACAGCTGCTGAGCCAACTCAACAGACTGCTGTAGTAGTTCAAGAAAAAACTACAGTAACTGCAGTTTGCACACCCAAGAAGAAGTGCTATTTTTGTGGTGGGGTATTCCATAACTGAAAATTTTGTCCTGCACGAGATGCACCAAGCAACAACTACGGTAAGAAGGGGCATTTCGCGAAAGTGTGTCAATCTAAAACAACCACTCTTACCACAGCAACCATGTTCAAACCTGCTCTTCTAGCCATCACAGCTGCCTTTCCCCAAAGTCTGTCGCCCACAGCAACTGTGGTTTCCATCAAAGGACAAAGCTTGAATGCCTTGATTGATTTGTGTAGTTCTGACAGCTTTATTAGTGAACAAGCTGCAAGAAAGCTAAATCTGAAAGTCTATCCAACCAACAAGGAAACCTCAATGGCATTGACAACACTGAACACCAGTTCTCCCAGCTTTTCTCTCGTAGATATAACCCTCAACGGTCATGCTTATTCATCTACATGTCTCGGAATTCTCAAGGACTTATGTAGTGATATAATTCGGGGACCAGATTTTCAAAAGCAACACAAGAGTCTAAATATTCAATTTGGAGGATCAAAACCAGTCCTTACTATCAGCAATCAAAGCTCATTTTGCACACTCAGCAGCTGCTATTGATGAGCCTTTACTTTTTGCTAATCTCTCTCCAAAATGTAAGCCAATAGCAACTAAATCGAGGCACTTCAGCAAAGATGATCAAGATTTCTTCCAGAAAGAAACCTTCCGGCTCCTCTCAGAAGGGATCATCGAACCAAGCCTATCACCCTGGTGTGCTCAAGTTGTAACTGTTAAAGATCCTCTTCAGCATCACAAGAAGAGACTATGCACTGACTATTCTCAGACCATTAACCTGTACACTAAGCTAGATGCTTATCCATTACCTTGCATCGATGTTATTGTTAATGATCTTGCTAATTACAAGGTGTTTTCTACCTTTGATCTGAAAAGTGGCTATCAAGTGCCACTGAAGGAATCTGACAGGATGTATACTGCATTCGAGGCAAATGGAAGACTGTACTAGTTTTGTTGGATCCCATTTGGAGTAAAAACGGTGTTGCAGCATTGCAACGAGAAATGGACACACTGGTTGCTGAAGAAAACTTGAAGACACCTTTCCTTATCTTGATACAATGGTCCCTCGGTTAACGAGTTACCTTCCATAAGATTCTTAACTTCGGTTAATGAGCAATCCCTCGATTAACGAGTTTCTTACGAGCCGACCTGAACATGTTTTCGCTTGCATTTGGCGGTCCACCAGCCGTAGTATTAGTCCGCCAATACACAGTAATCGGTTCTAGGGCTTAAATTCCTTACCATTTTAGCAAATATCAAGAAGTTTATATTATTCAATAATTTTAAAAGTTTATCAGTCAACCCTCACTTTACGCGGTCCCACATTCCACGTTTACGTGGTGCCCTGCCAGAACCCAGGATGCTCACATTCCGCGGTGCGTGTACCCCTTTACGCGGGTGAAGTATAATTTTTTTATTAAGCTCATAAAATTCATACAAATTACCCGGCCAGAATATAATTTACATTGCTGGAATTCTTACAATTTGATGATCATTTTGAATATAAACATCATAGATTTTGCATTAGACATACAAATTTTAGATATAATGTTTACTCTGAGTAAATATGTTATCTTTTGTGCAAAATATATGACATTTATATTCAAAATATTCCTGGTCTTACAAGGAATCCAGCAATGTCAATTATATTATCCTAACTTTAGTTTGAGGTATTATTTATTACTATACCTTAAAATCTAGTGGTTTTCCCCCCAAAATTTCTCAGAGAGGGAAGAGCCAGGAGTGTAGTGTGAGAAGAGGGGGAGGGAGTCGAGTCCATTATTTGAATGGACATTAACTTGGCGACTGTATTTCTCTTAAGTATTAATTGTGTGCATGTACCATCATAAAATTAAGAGGTTATTTTTACTAGAACATAGGTATTGTGTTGGAAAAAGTGGAGTTTGGGGGTCAGCTGGTCTCTATTTCATTTAATCCCTTATGTTATGTTATTCACTTTACGCGTTTCTCACCTTCCGCGGTACCTTGTGGGTTACATTAACCGCGTAAAGTGAGGGTTGACTATTAATTTTTTTAGTCATTTTAACAATTATTGAACATAATTGAAGGTAATGAAACTAGTTTTATGCGCGCCATCCAGCCTCTCAACACACCATACAGGCGTCAGTCTTTGTGTCTTTTCAGTGGAAGTAACATCTTGCTTGAGACTCTCTTCAACTAAATGCTTTTTTCTGTGTATGCAAGAAAATTATTGGTCATTTTAAATTTTTTTTACATATTGACAATATATAATGCAGGTGCAGTGTTGATTTAAAGAAAATAATCTTGAATTACACCAAGAGAACTAAAATTTTATGGGCAAAATGGCACCATGGGGTGACTTCTCTTCCACCCCAATGCCTTCTCTTCTCCCTTCTCCTCCACCCCCATTCTAATTCCCATCATCATCATCATCATCATCCAGGAGCCATCTACATACACACCTCAAAGTAAGTGTACTTTTCTACCTTTTTTGTTGAATTTAGGCAATTTTCGGTGAGCTGGAACCAATTACCCAAAAACCCATTGAAACAATGGTTTCGGTTAACGAGCAACCTTCTAGAATGGATTGTGCTCGTTAACCGAGGGACCACTGTACTGTAATATAATCATAGCAGGCCATGACCAAAAAGATCATGATGATAATCTCCAAAAGTTCTTTGACGTAGTGAACCATCTAAATTTAACTTTAAATGAATCCAAGTCCATAAGACCTGTGAAAACAATCAACATCCTTGGCTACTGGGTTGGGAACAGCACCATCAAACCTGATCCAGAGAGACTTCGTCCTCTTCAAGAATCTCCTCCACCAACAAATCTAGGTTCCCTTCGCAGAGCCCTTGGAATGTTTGCTTACTATGCAAAATACTGTTGATAAATGCTAAGATTCAGCCATATCAGCCTCCTCCCCATCAAGAAACAACTGGAAAATACTACACTTCAATCCGTAGATGAAAGCCTCCCATGTGCAGTTGAATGTGATGACACTTTGTGGATACCATCTCTGATATGAACATAAGAGTAAAATAGAACTTACTGTTGTCACCGTAGCGCTCTGAGCCGTTGACTCTGATAATGTCGCCCTTCTTGAAGCTGAGCAATGTGTTCTCCCGTGTGATGTAGTCTGCCGCTGCTCGCACAAACTCACGACTTCCCTGAAACAGAAAAGGATGATGGTGAACAGAGGTTTTATGAGGTATTTTACAAAAAGAATAGAAATCAACTCAAGAGGTCATGAGTCAACAAGAGAAAACGTCAGGCAGGGAATGTTGTCTTAACAGGGAACACCATCTTAACAGGGAGCATGTCTTAACAAAGGAATAAATTAACTAAAAACACTGTGTAAGAGAGGGTATGTTAAAAACAACTCACCAACCAAAAACATGTTAAACACTGAAAACTTGTTAATGGACATGTTGACAAACATGATATACAGTAGACCCTTGCCATTCGCGAGGGATAGGTTCCAAGAAATAGCACAAATTGGCAAAACCCCGAATAGCAACTTATACTACCTTAGTGCACTACTGTATACCTATACCAAACAACTGACCAGCTGTGGCAGCACTCATTCCCTCTTTTAACTTATCTAATAATAAAACTTTCTTTGTCAGGGTCATCACTAACTTCTGCCTTTTACATTTCACTCCACTAGCATCACTAGCAATGACATTAGGCAGTCTTTTAGGGGCCACTTTCACACAGAAACAATAAAGTTTTGAGAGAACAACACTGCGGGAAAAGGCTTGCAAGCTAGCCACCATCTGCTTACCGTGAATTGTCAAAATCGCGAATGGCAAGGGTCTATTGTACTGTACTATGTTATCAAAGAACATGTTAACAGAGAACATGGTAATAAAGAACAGGTTAACAAAACTTAATAACAAAGAATATGACAACAAAGACCTTCTACCAGGTAGTTAACAGAGAACATGTTAACAGTGCAACCTGAAAACAAGTTAACAAAGAAGAACATATTAACAAATACAGTATATACAGTACTTAAGGTCTACCTGCTAATAAAGATTATGTTAAATACCAATGTACTAACAAAGAACATAACAAAAACATTTTTACAAGGAAGTGTTAACACCAAATGATACTGTACAAGGGCAATGGAACAGTGAGGAAACAGGTAACAATGGATCAATATACGAATGGAGGAAACTGGGTAGTCCCATTTACACCCAACCCATATTGCTCATATATCCATCCAACCTATGTTTGAAGCTATCCAGCATATTCGAGTTAATGATGATGTTTGGTAACTTGTTCCGTTCATCCACTAACTCTATTTCCAAACCAATGGGGCAACAGAATAATGGGTTCCAAAGAATAATGGGGCAACAGAAAACTGGGTCAAACGGGAACAATGGGTCAACAGAACAAAGTGGCAATAGAACAATGGATCAACAGAATAATGGGTTAACAGGGTACAATAGGTCAACAGAACAAAATGGAGATCGAATGTGAAATGGACCTGGGTGTGTAGTCGGCAAGGAACTTAAGTTCTTGGGCCATTGTGAAAAGAAGGTCAATCAAGGAATGAAACTAGTAGGTCTTATAAAAAGGTTGTTTAGATACTGTATCTGGATAGTCAGTCCGTCACTCGTCACGTTCTTCAAGAGCAAGGTGCTTCCCTGTCTGGGTTCCTGTCACTCAGTCTGGTCCCCGAGATATGCTAGAGAATGTTAATTGATTGACAATGTCCTAAGGAGGGCCACCATACTGGTGCCTGCTCTATGAATCCTCAGCTACCCAGAGAGATTAGAATGCCTGCAACTGCCTAGCTAATACTAGAAACGAGCAAGGGGCGACTACTCGGTAGAATGTATATACCTGGAGCTGACGGACGCCCGCCCCACAAGGGGTAACAGCTCAAGGTCGAAAAAGCCACACGTCCAGAAAACAGTGTGGGCAAACCTTTTCAGAGTGAGAATTGTGAACTCTTAGAACAATCTACCAGAGTGTGTTGTGACGGTACCGAGTGTGAGCTCATTTAAGGTCAGACTTGACCAACACTGGAGCAGGTACAGAAACATTCAGAAGCCAGTTCATCCCCAGTACTTGCCAACAGTGTGTAATAGAGACATAACCAACTGTCCAAGCGACTAACAGGCCAATTGGCGGCGAAGAGGGTAAAAGTAAAGTAACGGGCAACAGAACAAAGGGTTACCAGGGACCCATGGGGCAACAGGGAATAACAGGGCAAAAAAGAATAACGGGGCAACAGGAACAATGGGGCAACAGAACAATGGAGCAATAGGAACAATGAGTCAACAATGAGGCAACAGGAACAATGGGCCAACAGGAACAATGAGGCAACAGAACAATGGGCCAACAGAACAATGGGCCAACAATGAACAATGGAGCAACAGGAACAATGGGGCAACAGAACAATGGGCCAACAGAACAATGAGTCAACAATGAGGCAACAGGAACAATGAGGAAACAGAGCAATGGGCCAACAGAACAATGAGTCAACAATGAACAATGGAGCAACAGGAACAATGGGGGCAAACAGAACAAGGAGTTAATGAACAATGGGCCAACAGAACAATGAACAATGGGGGAACAGAACAAGGCGACAACAATGAACAATGGAACAACAGGAACAATGGAACAACAGGAACAATGGGACAACAGGAACAATGGGGTAAAAATGAGTTAACAATGAACAATTGAACAACAGGAACAATGGGACAACAGGAACAAAGGGACAACAGGAACAATGGGGTAAAAATGAGTTAACAATGAACAACAGGAACAATGGGACAACAGGAACAAAGGGACAACAGGAACAATGGGGGTAAAAATGAGTCAACAATGAACAATTGAACAACAGGAACAATGGGACAACAGGAACAAAGGGACAACAGGAACAATGGGGTAAAAATGGGTCAACAATGAACAATGGGACAACAGGAACAATGGGAGAACAGGAACAAAGGGACAACAGGAACAATGGGGTAAAAATGGGTCAACAATGAACAATGGGACAACAGGAATAATGGGGCAACAGGGAAGAATGGGTCAACCGGGAACAATGGGGCAGCCGGGAATAACGGGACAACAGGGAACAATGGGGCAACAGGGATTAACGGGACAATAGGGGGGAATAATGGGACCACAGAACAATGGGGCAACAGAACAATGAGTCAACAGTGAACATTAGGTCAACAGGAACAGTGAAGCAACAGTATAATTGATCAAAAGAGGACAGTGGGTCAACAGAACTGCAGGACAACAGGGAACAGTGAAGCAATGGGGGCAACAGAACATTGAGTTAACAGGGAACAGTGGGACGAGAGAGATAAATAAGGCAACAGAACAGTAAGTCAACAATGAACAACGGGACAACAGTTCAACAGGAGACAGCAAGCAACTTAACAAGGGTCAAGAGACACACTTAAAACTGTCACTTTATATTTGAGAGGTTAAGGGTATCATTAGTTAGTATAATAAAACTGTAGGCCGGTGTCGAGTCTCCCTTGCCTGTTGAGGTGGCATCCAGCCAGTTCAGACTATATTGGAGGCAAAACCCATCAACTTAACCTGACCTTACCTGCCTGATCTTACCTAAATGAGCTAAATTGTACTCTTTTTATTGTTAGTTTTTTATGTTTGGTTGGTTCGTCTTGTAATGACTTTTTTAAAGAGTTTTACTAATACAAACTAAAATTGGAAAATCCGAATTTAAGACAAATATAAATAAAAATTTGATAATTAATAATATATTTACTCTGATGTTTAGAAGTACAACTAATATTACTACTAGTAATAATAGTGGGTTCAAACTTGCTTTGACGATGTCCTAGAAAATTACCAATAATAATTCAGAGCACACAATTATGTCTACATTAACTTATTATTATTGAAAACTTATGTTTGAGTGAACACATCTGAAATGAAATATTGATCATTACTGTTAACATCGGCTAAACACAACTTGCACTAGGTGGCGGCGTGAGTACCACCACTACCTGGCTGAGGTGGACAGTTTGTACCTGGAAGGCCAAGCGAGCGAAGGCGTGAGGTTTGAAGTTGTTCCTGACGGCGTGGTAGAGGATGAGTGCCCAGCCAAGGCGGGAGGTAGCGCCTATGGTCTCGTGCCAGTCGTCTAGGCCAGGTGTCACACTTGTTACATCACTTAGGTCACTACCGTCACTCAGCTGGGATCTTACACTACCCTTGAGGGCTGATTTCAGTCCTGGGAAGGTCTGGTCTTCTACCACAGGAATGGGTGGCAGTGAAGGGTCATAAACATCCTCCTCAAGATATAGGTGTTGGTGACTAGACTTGAGGGCTGACCTGAGGGCTGATGGAGGCTGGAGGGTCGAATGAAAGTAATGACACGACGGGTCGTTTGGATCGTCGTCAGCAGAATCATGCAACACGTCCACAAAGTCGCTGGTTGTCTGCTGTTCCTCAAAGTTATCCAACTCGCTGTCGTCAAAACTGCCACCCTCACTATGAACACCGTCACTGTGACCCCCTAAAACTGGTGTTGAGGATCTGGTGTCCGTGGAGTTTCTTGTCACTTTCAACGCCTTCTCTAGTGCTGGGAAGCCTGTGGGGACACCGTCCCTGTGCATCAACTCGCTATACAGTCTGTACATACCATTTTCTGAATAAATATCGGTTTCTCGTCCCATATGATCACGAGTTTTTATGTTTTCTTGAGAATCTTCCTCCACCTGAAATCTTTGTACACGAGGCATAGATTGGTCCCAAGATTGCAAATCATCCCACAATTCTCTATCATCAGTGTAGTCAACTGTCATTGGCACATCCCTGGTGGGTGAGATATTGTAGTGACTAATAAACAGGCCATCCTTCCATAGTGTACTGGTGGGCTCCTTGGGGTCGTGCGGGACATCCAGGGAATCCTGACCCTGATCAGAGTAGTCAGGATCCGGCAGCATCCTTGACACCAATAGACAAGGGTCTCACTCCAGACCATCACATTCTTTACTGTTATTCACTGGCCGAGGACGGTAACAGTTTGATTCAGTCTTACCATGAGAAAACACATTAATATAGTATTAATGAAAAAAATTCATTTAATCTTGACGAGAAGAAACACTAATTCAATTTTACCATGAAAAGAAACACCATTTCAGTCTTATTAAAAAACGAAACATTTAATCATGAA